CCACCCCCACCCCCACCGCACCCGCTGTGGCACGGGACGGGCTCACAATGAATCTGTCGACTATGAATAAACTGTCGGTGACAAATCCGACGAGCCACCGGGGCGCCGTACAAAACGGAAACTTCTATTACTTTCTGCGCGCACTCTGTTTTCCGGTACACTGCTGTTTGTTGACGGGGCGGGGTTGCGACGGTTGTCGCAAAAAAGGGGTCGAGTGTGATAAGCGCACAGCAGGGTGGTCAAGGTGAATAGCCCTGGGGGATGACAAAAGGACCTTAGCGGAGGGCGGGGCGGCGGCGAGGGAGAGGAGACGAGATGAGAGGAGAGAGGAGTAGTAGCGAGAGCGAGAGTGATGGCGAGTGAGTGAGTGGGATCGAGCGAGCGGCATGACGTGCGTCGTGATGCGCGCCGTCAGTCGCCGAAGAATAGCCATCCGGCCCTTCCAGCCGGCAGCATGAGCCCCCTCCTCCTCCTCCTGCCACCCCTCTGCCTATTCTTCTCTTCGTGGACCTCCGCCTGCCCCGCCCCTCCCCCATGGTCCCACACCCCCACTCTCCGCCCCCACCCCTCCGTCTCTTCCGCCCGGTGCCTCTCCAATCGGGAGCAGGGAAACCGCTCTCCAGAAGTCTCTCCCCAGTGCGCGCCCGTCCAATGTGCTTCCGCTGGATTCTCTGGACAGAGTTCGCGAATTTGCCGTTTTTTTGTGGTCACTGTGGGGAACACCCGGGAACGCCCGGGAACACCCGGGAACACCCTCACCCCGCGCCGCCTCTGGCCGCCTCATTCCCCGCATTGTCAATTTCCTCGGTCGGGCCGCGCGCCCTGCCGCCCCCAGCACTGCTCGTCCGGCCGCGCGCGGCCGGTCTGCTCCCAAGGAATCGAGCACTAGAGAGGGTACTAATATCATAGACCCAGAAAAACTGATTCTTGTTTCAATCACATTTTTCCTTGTTTCAAGTGAGTAATTTTACTCTTGAAACAAGATGATAGTCTCTTTCGAATAGGAGAAAAATCTTATTTCAAAGACAATATTGACTTGTTTCAATATTGCATTTAATGTTGGGTCAGCACGCTCTTGAAACAAGAAACAATTTTTCTGGGGAAAGACGTAACAGTTTATTTCGGGACCACCACAGCTGACCCCGTGATAGTTTTGTACCCCGGGATAAAATAAAAATATCACGGTGCGTGCCTATGAGTTCCAATGGTGTGGTTTTTTTCTGAACCCCCTGAGAAGGACCATGGATTTTGTACACCCCTCTAAAGGGCACGTAGCAGCATGTGCATGATCCCAAGACGAGCGGGCCGGTTACAGCGCTGGCGATTGGCGTGCGCGGCTCCGCTAGGCTCGGCCGGATGGCCGATTGCTTTCAGCGCCCTCGTAAATAGACGCCCCGCACCGTGCAGACTCGCCCATCCATTACACGGCTAGCTGCACGGCGCTTCATCGGCGGGGGGCTGAGTCGGGCCTCGTGCCCCGCCCCGCCGCACATCGCCCACAACACCCCTTCCGTGATCAAGTGCAACATGACCAACAATCAGCACAAATAAGACGTTTATTCCATTTTTTTTTAATTTTAATCCTTTTATATATAGTGGCATGTTGTGTTGGTATTCATATTTCCTCCAACATAATCGTTTTTGTTGGTGCCTCAAAAACATGTTATCCTTGGGTACGCTCTATCAAGCTACGGGAGAGGGAAAATCTTTTTTTAATACAAAAATAAGTAAACAACGACTCGATTGGACGGTGGTGTTTTGATGTATTTCAAGGTGCAGTCAGATGCATCAATGCAGCGCCTTCTGGATGATGTCGATCGCCTTCCTCTTCCGCAGCTCCTCCTCCGATAGGGCCTCCTCCCCCTCTGGTACCTGCAACAGCGGGCGCACTGTTACTTTAGGGGTAAAACAAAAGAGCTTGTGATTAAAAGTGTTAGTGACGCGGGCATTCCATCCTAGCGCGATAAAGCACCTGACCTGCCAGCTACACAACCACAAGG